ATGAGGAGGAACCCAATAGAGGGATGCTTTTGGAAGCCCTTGTCAAGAAACTCCAATGGACTCTCATATGAACATTTGAAAATTGCCGTTTTGACATTTTTCTAGTTCCCTGCTAATTGCTCTTGCCTTTACTTCTCCTTCATATCTCCTATTCAAGATTTCTTCTTCCCTTAGAGACAAAAGTTATGCAATTTGGGAGTCATTTAGATAGACCCACTGAAGGGGGTACCCCAATTGCCTCACCCTGCATCCCTGTTCAGCATGGAAGAACCCAGAGCAGTCTGCGTCCCGATTCCCTATTGGCAATTTGGGGACCCTCTTCAGAGGGTGGTGTGAAAAGAATAGGTGGCAGGAATTCTGTCCTTGAGCCTGTTTAGCAACCTACTCCATCCCAAAGGCCAAAAATGTCAAAAATATTTGGGAGTTGTATCTAATCCTTTAAAGATTTTAGGGTTACCTCTTCAGAAGGGGGAAGGTTAAGAGTAGCCCAAAGCCCCATAAAAAAGTCAATCAATCAATCAAAGAAGAATAAAGAGTACATGAAGTTATCAGAAAAAAGTGATGGGAGATATGGGAGGAGTTGGAGGGGAGGGAGTGGCATGGATTTGATCAAAACACCTTATACACATGTATGAAATTCTCAATAAATTATTTATTCTAAAAAAAAGAGAGAGAAAAATAAATTTTACTAAAAATTTAGTAAGCCAGGCGTGGTAGTGCACACCTTTAATCTCAGCACTCAGGAGGCAGAGGCAGGCAGATCTCTGTGAGATCAAGGGCAGCCTGGTCTACACAGTTTCAGGCCAGCTGGGGCTACAGGAAGACCCTGTCTCAAAAAGATAAAAAAAAAAAGAGAGTAAGGTGACAGTTGACTAGATGACATGTGTACTGACTGATGCACTATTTCAGACAAACTCTTTTCAGTCATAGTTTATAGAAATGCAAGTTCATCAGATTATTAGGCAGTGACAATTGATAGTGTATATGAGTGTATTGCCTATGCACCTGTGTCATTGCAATGCCTTCAGAGGTGAGAAGGCAGTGCTGGATTTCCCCTGGATTTGAGTTACAGATGGTTGTTAGTTGCTATCTGGATACTGGGAACTGAACCTGGGTCCTCTGCAAGAGCAGCCAGGGTTCTTTACCCTTGAGTCACCTCTCCAGTCCCAGGAGGCCTCTATGATCAATCATATCATTTCACTGGGTGTTGAGGCATAATGGCCAGAAAGGACTTAGGAAGGGAAGAATAACTAGTAATGTGCTGACTACTTTGAGATCTTGTAACATGTAGAATTTTTTAGATCTAAATAATCATGTAAGATTCTAACAAAACATCATCATAAAGATCACATCTGTTTAACAGAAGAGAGTCATAGAAGTGGAATCCAGTTCAATGTTTACGTCCTTCAAAATTCCTATGTGGCAGAGCTATGGCTGTAAGAGTTTAATGACAGAGTGCTTACTAGCATGTATGAAGCCCTGGGTTCAAATCCTAGCAGCAGCAGCACCACCACCAGTCAAAAATTCATATATTGAAATCCTAATCCCTGTATAGGACAGTATTAGAAAGAAGGACTCCTTGAAAAGTGTTTAGAGCATGGTAGTACAGCCCTTATGGCAGGATTACTTAGTACCTCACAAAAGGGACTCTAGAGAGAGCTCTCTAGCCTCTCTCAGCCATGTGAGGGCATGAGAAACCAGCAGTTTGTTTGCTTGTTCCAGTTTGCTTCTCCATTGTTATCACAAAACAATCTGACCAATACCAGCTTGGGGAGGCAAGGGTTTATTTAGCTTACACTTCCCAGGTAATACAGTTCCATCACTGAGGGAGCCCAACCTGGAGGCAGGAGCTAAAGCACAGGCCATGGAGAAACACTGCTTTGCTGGCTTGCTCTCCTGGCCCCCGTTCTTATACAACATAGGCCTACCTGCCCAGGGCACCACATCACTCCCACATCACTCAATAATCAAATGTCTTCCCCATAGACATGGCCACAGACCAGTCCAATGGAGGCAATTCACCAAGTGAGGCTCTCTCTACCCAGGTGTGTCAAGTTGATAACTAAAGCTATCCAGCACTAGATGATGGCCCCTCACCAGAGCCTGAAAATGTTGGCACCATGATCTCAGAAGCCTTTGGGATTGTGAGAAACAAATTTGTTGTTGGTATAAGCCAGTCTATGATACTTTGTTATAACACACCAAATTCATAAGACAAGCCATAAACATCTACAATTTTTCTTTCTACCCCATCCTCTGGATCCTTGGATACATGAATTCTAATCTGAGAGCTCTTTGACCACTCTATACCAACTCCTTTCTTATTCTTTCATTAAGACAATTTCTACCTCGGTCAACCATGAAACACATCACAGAACTCTGATTCTTTCCAAACACCACTTCTCCCTCAACACTAACAGATCTAACCTTTAATTTTCTCTTGCTCCTTTAACCTATATGGAATCAATCTCATGTTCAATTCTTTCAACCATATTCTTACTTAAACCATGGAAACTTCTGCCATTATTATTTTCCTGTGCCATCCAGGCCAATCTCCTACCTTAGGACAGCCAAGTGAGCCAATTTCTCTGAACTCAAGTATTGCTGGACAAAGTCATAGGATCTTATTGAATGGTTCTACAGCAAAGACACCAACTAGATTCAGCTGACTCCTTATCAAGTTCTTAATACAACAGCAAGCCTGACCTATGGCTACCCCAAGTCTTTTCCACTTCTCAGCAAAAGACTCACCTAAATTATTGAGAATTAAAGTCACAGACTGAATTCTCACATCTTCTCTCCTCTTCACTAGAGTGATCTTTCCCTTTTTCTTTCCAACCAAATTCTCAATCCATGTCTTAGACTACATTCCTTCAGTCTCCTCCAAGGTAATGAGCCACCAATCTTCTTTCTTTCCTTAAGGCCCAACAATGTCTCCCTATTTAAGTTCTTCCACCAACCTAGAAACATAGCAATGCCTTTCTAAAACCTCGTCTCACTTTGTCTTTCTATATACCATACATAATCACCTCCCTTATGTGTTTTAATAACCCCGTTTACTCAGTGGTGCCGCTTCTTATTTATCTGGTGCTCAGCTTCTATGTTTAGCCCTTATCTCATTTAATTTTGTTTCAGCAGTCACCAATGACCACCCTTTACAGGAAGAAGAAAGGAAGAGAAAAAGATAGGAGTAGGAGGAGAAAAAAAAAAAAAAAAAAACCAACCAAAATCTCAGCAAGCCATCAAGAGTCTCCCAACTGTACCTACAGTTTCCATGCCTTTAAGGTTTCTTGGCAACCAGTGTCATGAATGTCCCCCAGACCCCTCCATACTTCTGATTCACCACCTATTCCACTGGCAATATTTTCTTAGCCTTCTTTATCGATGTCTTTTCCGCTGCACCTGCACCTGGGCAGGATGGCTCACTTAAGTGATTACCTTCATGGGGACACTATAGACTATATTCATAACATACAACTCAGAACTGAGTTATATTAATTGAGTTAATTCAGTATTGAGTCTATGAGTCAATTCTGCTAAAAGGAAAACTAATGAGCACAGTACAAAGAAAGAACTCTAGACACAAGGAATTATTAGTTAATAAACTAGAGCTGTGAATTCTCTCCCAGGAAGAGAAGACCTTCCTACCTTAAACTGTGACAGTAGCTCATCTGTAGCACTAGTTGATACTTCATTCTCTCTGGTTTCAGCTAAGCGCAGAATTTCATCTATATCCATTTCCTGAAATGACCACAACATATATAATGAAAAGACAAGCCTTTGGCACTTACTGAAAATGCAAACACACCAACTTTCCTTTCTGGAATTTCTATTTACTCATACAACTCAGTTCTCTATCCTTCATATCCAATGCTTCAAATTATTGTTTGTTCAAATGATATGGCAAAATTCATTAACAGAAAGAAAACATGGGAGAAATGTGGAACCCTGAAATGCCTTATTCATCATTTTCTATTTGATGTAGTAAGAGCTTTGAGTTTAGTAAGAAAAAAAAAATTCCACCTTCCTTCAAATAATCACTTTCTTTACAAAACTCTCTAACAAAGAACCTGCTTCCTGAAAAATTTTTATGCTCAGAGAAAAAAAGCTTCCTTTTAAAAAAAGTTTCTACTAGTGCATATTTATCATACAAAGTGATGAGTTTTATACGTCATTCAATTACATCATGTACTTTGATCATATTCACTATCCATTACAGTTCCTGTCCCTGCTCACCTACCTTTCCTTTTCCCTTCTACTTTCACGTCATGTGATGTATACACACATATACACATGCATATTCAAATATATGAAATCTAAGTTCCATATATAAGAAAAAAACATGTGACACTTGTCCTTCTGAATGTGGCTCATTTCACTTAAAATAGTTTCCAGATCTACCCATTTTCCTAAAAATAACAGGTTTCACTTTTCTTTATGGCTGAATGAAACTCCACTGCATCTATATACATTTTTATCCAAGCATCTACTGATGGACATCTAAGGCTAATTCTATAACTTGGCAATTGTGAATAGTACCATAATAAACATGGATATGCAAGTATCTCTGTAGGATGTGGTTTGATTTCTCTGGGTATAGTCCTAGGAGTGGTATAGCTGGATCATATGGCAGTTCTATTTTCAGTTTTTCAAGAATCTTCATACTGGCCCCAATCTTAGTCAGAGAATTTTTGGCAGCTGATTACTGCTGGGTGAAGAAAAGCTGATCTTCTTAAAAGGAAGGACTCTAGATAGGCTGCCTAGACCCCAGAGGATGAACTTGCACTAAGGGACATCTGGGGACATTAACTTGACACAGTAGGCCTTAACACAAATGATAGAATGCATGAAATCCAGTGGGGGTGGGGGTATAGGGGGGTACCAATCGGGAAGGGAGTAGAATGATGATCAAGATTGATTAAGATGTTCTGTATCAAATATACAAAAATTTGGGGCTGGAGAGATGGCTCAGCAGTTAAGAGCACTGACTGCTCTTGCAGAGGACCGGGGTTTGATTCCCAACACCCATATGGCAGTTACGAACCATCCTTAGCTCCAGTTCCAGGGGAATCCGAAGCTCTCTTCTGACCTCCACGGCATTGCGTGGCACGACTGCACTCACATACATGAAGGCAATACACTCATACACACAAAATTTAAAAATTAATAAAAAATAAAAATAACAAATATGCAAAAATGCAATAAAAAAATTTACAAAAAAAAACCCTTCATACAAAAACATTTTCACCTTCAGTGTTGATTACCTGAGGCTCTGACTCCTCTCCTTCAATTTCTTTGAAAAGATCCTCTGCTCCAAATTTCAAGATAGCAGTTAGTTCTTCTTTATTAAAAGGATTTGAGCTGTCAAAGTAAAATACAGCTGTAACCTTTACTGTCTGACTCAGAAAGTCACCTACTCTTCAAGTATTTTCATCCATCTCACCTCTGATCCAAAATAAAAAGAGTCAAACGTCTCTCATTTAGGTACTTCTTGAACAGAAAATTATCTCAAAGCATTCCATTTAGGAAGAATTATACTTCATCTTAAACACAATAAATGTAGAACAGTCCACAGCTGCTCAGAATGTAAACTCCTAACCGTTTTTCTTCTATATTCTTTTGCCATCAATAGTTTGAAAAAGCAGAACAATCTCCCCACAAATATTTTCACTAACAGTTAAAAGCACAGTTGCCAATTTGGTCAATTGGAGTCACTGTTGAAAAGCAGAAGGTGACTTTGTGCAGTGCTGAAACCCAACCAACAACACAGTCTGCTGCTGCTGCTGCTGCTGCTGCTGTGTCATCTATCAAATAAGGAATGAGAAGAGACAAGAGAGGGGACAGAAAGAAGAAGGAGCATATGTATACAGGCAGAGGCTTCAGGGACAAAAACAGGAGAGGTCAGCAAGATGGCTCAGTGAGTAAAGACACCTACCACCAAGCCTGACAACCTGAGTTCAACCCCAGAACCCAAACGGTGGAAGGCAAGAACCAAAACCCAACTTGTCCTCTGACTTCCACATGCACACCAAACACACAAAAGAAAACAAATGTAATAAAAAGAGACAGAGAAGAAACAAAGAAAAAAAGGGAAATGCCATCCTTACAGTACCAGGTAATGAATGAATAGTCTTTGTGCCAGAGAATCCCATCAAAACTGTATCAAATGCTGGCGGAAAAATCAATCTGGCACTCACTTGGATCTTCCTGAGTTGTTTTCCAAGACTGTCCTGCCAGTGGTATCCATGCGCTGAATCACCAGATGGTCCAACACCATCTTCTTTTTGGCCCGTTCTATGATCTCCTCTTCCACAGTCCCCTTTGTAACCAATCGGTAAATGTTCACCTGTAGGAAAAGGAAATGTTATATACATTCTTGATTTTTTTAAAAAAGTTACCTCTGTCAAAAATCAAGAGAGGCAAAATGCCAGGTGTGGTGGTGCACACCTTTAAATTCAGCACTCAGGAAGCAGAGGTAGGCAGATCTACTGTGAGTTTGAGACTAGCCTGGTCTACATAGTGGGTTCTAGGCAAGCCAGGCAGGGCTACACAGTGAGACCCTGTCTTAAAAAAAAGAGGGATGAGGGGGGAAGTAAAATTTGTTCTCTAGCAGTATATGACAATACCCCATCCATCCAGGGATGTAAATTAGTAGATACAATATTTTTACTAATTGTAGTGGGTTACAGTCTTAAGTAAAAGTGCTTCTAAAGATATAATGGTCTTGTTCTGATGACAAAAACCTTCCTAAGAATAATCAGCTTCACTGATTTGCAAAAAACTGAATTACTGGCTACATGTGAAAGCCAGTCAATACAAAAGCAGACTTCAAGATCCATATGCAAAAAACCCCACAAAAAACAATTACCTAATTTTCTGATGTTCTGTAAACTAAGACTGTCATGTAAAATAAGCACAGATCATCTTGAACAATACTAGACTAGTCAATAACTATATTAGGAGAAAAGTTTCTCTGCTCTAAGTCTGCTGCTTATACCTCTTTCTTGATAAATGCACAAAGTCACTAATAATGTATGAAGACAGGGTTAAGAGTCCAAAGTAGGAATCGTCTGAGATCCAAAGACATCTCTCCTCTGAACTAGTTAATAAACAGAAATGGACATGGGGAAATGAAAGTAGTAGGGAAATGAGCATCTTAAAACACCCTGACAGGGAAGAATAACCTTCTTACTGCAATCCCAAAGTGATATCCAGAAACCTCTCCCCACTGACCTGCTTCTTCTGACCAATTCTATGGGCTCGGGCTTGTGCCTGCAAGTCGTTCTGGGGGTTCCAGTCAGAGTCAAAGATGACGACTGTGTCCGCTGAAGCCAAATTGATTCCCAGGCCACCAGCCCTTGTGGAGAGCAGGAAACAGAAGTCCTGTACACAATGCAATATACTACTTTATGCAGTGGCCTTCTCAGAAACAGTTTCACAGTCCAATAAGCCCTTACACCTGGAAACCCCTGCAGGTGTGAAGAAAAGTGAGATATGATGGACAAACTTTATGAAGACTAAAAGAAAGTCAAGGACTTGATGGCAGAGGGAATTTTCATTTGATTAAGAGGAAGAGTCAGTGCAGTGAACAAAGGAATAAAGGAGAATCCAAAAGGCAGGAGGGATAAGAGAATTTCTCTCCTGGCTAGAACTAGCATATACAAAAAGTTAACCCAAAACAGCACTCAAACTCAATTATCATGAAAATTGTTTCATCAAGCTACCCAGATTCATATTTTCTGGGGAAAGGTAGATTGTGCCTTGTAAACTGAGATGCTTAATCATGCTTATCTTCATGCATCCGTTAGGCTAGAGAGGAAAAGAGAAGCACCACATTGAACATGTAGCACTGGGATGACTGAGATGCACAGGAACCTCAATCCCCACAAAACATGCAGCAAGAAAATGAGAGCAGTGTGAAGACGACCAGGTACTGACAGCTGCCAGTGTCCACAGCAGTGAGCAGGGACTGGGCAGCACAGTACTCCTTACTGTATCCATCTGAGTACTTAGAGAAACATGTGGGCAGAGGGAAGACAAGCTGTTTAAGTCAGGTAAAAAAGATAGCTATTTTCAGAGAATTTGATTATGTAACCAAAAGCTCGTGCCTTTTGTTGTTACTTTTGTCCATGTGTATTCTGAGCCATCTTACCAGCCCCCAAAAGCTGGCACCTTCTGAGTACAAAAGTACCACTCAAAACCTAGTTTGGGGCCAAGTAGAGTGGCACACACCTACAACTGCAGAACTCAGGTGGAAGAGGCAGGGAAGCAGGATTTCAAGGCCATTGTCAGCTATATATTGAGTTTGAGGCCAGCCTGGGTTATAAGACATCCTGTTTCTTAAAAATAAGTGACTGAATGAATGAATAAGTAAATAAATAAAATAAAAGCTCTCCATGTTCTAGCAGTCATATTCAGCATTAGGTCATAAAATACAAAGGGAGACAGCTACATCACAAGAATTTCAAATAATCCCAACACAGAATAATCAAGAGTTGAGAGTATACATAGCATGTGGTTCTTGGGAGAAACAGCTCTCTCAGGAGAGGCCTACAGATAAATAGCAGACAATTTAGGACAAAATGCCTAAAAACTTCAATAAAATCTGGACAATCACATAAGCAATTTTCAATGTCCAAAAGATAATATGAATTACATGTTGTTTATGTCTCTTATCAAACTAATAAACATTTATGAAATTTTATGTTGCTAAAGGTAAAATAAAATGGGAGTTATCTGTAAATAAATAGTAAATTATAGGATCTAAGATCTTTAACGACATGGGAAAACTCCACGTATAATCTGACTAAACAAAGAACTATATATAGCATGAGCCCATGTAGAGGACATGAAGAAACAAATGTGTCACTCAGCAGGGACGGAAACAGACCCAAATGATGTGACAACTTGGCACACAGGTGAGGGTTTTATAGAATTTTTGGTGCTGGTACTCTTCATCATCCCTCAAATTTGCTAAATGGGCATGTAATATTTTCTCCAACTAATAACTTTTTTTTTTTGTCTTTTTGAGACAGGGTCTCCCTATAGTCCCCAGCTGGCCTAGAGCTCCATACATAGACCAGACTGGCCTTGAACTCACAGAGATCCGCCTGCCTCTGCCTCCCCAAAAAACCCCACAAAAACCCCCCTGCCTCTGCCTCCCCAAAAAACCCCACAAAAACCCCCCTGCCTCTGCCTCCCCAAAAAACCCCACAAAAACCCCCCTGCCTCTGCCTCCCAAGTGCTGGGATTAAAGGTGTGCATCACCACACCTGGCTCCAAGTAATAATTTTTAAATTAATTCTAAAAAAGATACAGAAAATGGCAGGGAGCCTGTGCACATGGTTAAGAGAGAACAGGAATCAATACTACTACACAAAAAAAAACCTTTCAGATTTTTGGAAAAAAACAAAACAAAACATCTGTTTTGTTTTGATATTTTTGAGACAGAGTCCTCCTGTAGCCCTAGCTAGTCTGGGAGTCATGATGTAGATCATGATGTAGATTCACCTGCCTCTGCCTCCTGAGTGCTAAGACTAAAGGCATATACCACCACGCCCAGTGGAAATGAAACATTTAACTCACACTATTTAAGTTTTTTAAGTAAGACTAGGGAACACAAAATCATTTTCAACAAACACTATATAATAAAAGATATCTGGTGTCTTACTGAGTGCCTACTATGCACCAGTGTGTTCAGTGCCTTCATTAGTGATAATATATTTCACCCTCAAAGCAACACAATGAGGTCAATGTTGGAGTCACTGCAATTTTACAGTCAAAGAAAGAAAAGAGGGAAAAGGGATGGGACAAGATGATGACTAATGTTTTTGATCATTCAATTCCTCTTATCCCTAATTATGTGGAACCTTGATCCTGAATACTATATTCCCCCCAGCCTCCTTTCAGGGAGAAATAAAATTCAGGCTATAGAAGCAGCCAGAACACTTAATCTCACTAGGAGCACCCACGAATTCAGAGACAGAAGATACATCATTCTGAAATAACAGAAACATTAAGAGTTTATAAAGCTCTTCAGAAAGCAGAACATTGTCTATTCTATCTGCTAATAATTAAAAAAAGAAAAAATACCGAGGCTCCAGAAATTAGAATTCTCTCCAAACATTTATTGTTTCTGGACTCTCTCCATTGCTTCCTTTACTGTGCACATTATTAGTTTTGCTTCCACTAAAATAAAGTTATTCCCCTACACTTCTCTTAAATCTGCCATCATCTGGTAATCTGATAGGCTCAAACAATAACATACTTAGGATTTCTGAATTGTTTAAAGCAGCTCTAATATAGGTGAGCCCAATCAAAGTACTTTACAATGCCAAATCCAAGGGGAACACTTAGTAATTTAAGTGCTGCTATGAACCAGATCAAGAATATTCAGCCACATCATACAAGGACTCTAATATAATTGAAACTTGGCAAACAGACTGTCCAAGCATTAGTTACCAGAAAACTACAGCTCAGAACTTTGGTGTACGATGCATATCAAAATCAATCCTACTGGTCTACCCTGTCCTAACCTTCCCTTGCTGTTCTTTCAAGCTCATGAATTTGGTATCCAGAGGTCACTAGAGAACTGTCATTAAGCCAGAGCAGGGGAACTAAAGAAAGCTCATGTATACTTGTACAAAGCTAAGTAACAGCAAAACAAGGCATCTTTTAAGTATTTCTTGTTTCTTGTCAAGATAGAAGTCTGCTATAAAATGTTTCTGAAACAAAATACAGTAAGCTGGAAAGACTTTCTCCTCAATACAATGCCCAAGTTATCCAAATGATAAAGCCATGCATAATGTACCTCAGACCCATCTGCATTAAAGTGATCCAATGCCTGTTTTCGGATTTCTCCCTTGATAGAACCATCCAGGCGCTGTAAAAATAAACCACAAGAAAATCATAAGGGAGGAAGATCAGCTACTCTCAGAATAGAACACCAGACTTACAACCTTTATCACCCAGACATACACTGAGTAAAAATAACGAATTCATTGGCAAAGTGCCGTAAAGGGGCTACGTGTAACCAGCATGCCCTGTGTGACCCATGCTCTCCAGTTACAGACAGGAGGTCAGAAGCCTCTGATTCCATGGGTTGTCTAAGCTTACCCAAGGATCAGAACAGCTGCCAGAACTTACAAGGAGAGAGGTGAAAACCCAGCCTGTGAGATTAAAAAATAGTACCACTGGTCACCTAGCAACTGGCTCCTACAGAAAAACGATACTTCTTAGGCAATGTGACTAAAAGTATTAACTGATAAACAGGCCAAAAAATAACACTTGGAACTGGTTGAAAACACTGAAAATGTTAAAATTAATTAACTATACCAACTTTTTCTAAAAATTACTCTATGAAATCAAGAGTTATTCAAGCAGTAAAACTGTATCATTAACTCAAGAGTCCTTTGGCTTTCACATGTGCATAGAATTCTTCTGCTAGTTAGAACATATGTCACTTCCAGGTATAAGACAGTCACCATTCTGGAACTATTCAACAAATATAAAATAAATACTGAAAAATTATCACCTGCATACTATGCAAAAGCCATTTCTCAGTATTTAAAATTATTTTCACATTCCATCCCCTTAAAATCATCCCTTAAGCATGGTGATGCACACCTTTAATCCCAGCACTTGGGAGACAGAGGCAGGTGGATCTTTGTGAGTTCGAAGCCAGCCTGGTCTACATAGTGAGTTCCAGGACAGCTGGGGCTACAAAGGAAACCCTGTCTCAAAAAGACAAAAAAAAAAATCATCGCTTGAGATGAAAAACTACTTGATTTTGCAAAAGATCAAACTGATCCCAGACAGAGTCTACAGAAGACCCACATCTTCCCAAGGTCATTAGAACCTGAATTCAAGTTGTCCTTGTACTTTTCTACAACTACTACTGCTTTGTTTACTGACAACAACTGCTGGAGAAACTACTCAGTGGTTAAGAGCATTAACTGTTCTTACAGAGAACGTGACCTGAGTTCAGTTCCCAACAACCACATGGTGGCTAACTCCAGTTCCAGAGGACGCAACACCCTCTTCCAGCCTCTGTAGGCACTGTGTGCACGTGGTGAACTTACATATATGCAGGCAAAGCACTCATGCATATAAAACTTACTTTTAAAAAAGGCAGGTTCACAGGCTGTATTTGAAATAAAACCTAAATGCCTTCCTTTTATATTCTCATTAACAGAAAGCATTAAGATAATTACTTAAAAGTCACTAGATATAACAGACTTAAAGGACCCCCAGAGAGAAGATAACATTCTTGATTTACAAGATATCAGAACTGCCTAGAAATTAAAGTTCACAGGGATCAGATACACTGAGAAACAATCGCCTTTAACACTGTACTATATACTATATTCTGTTAAAAGACCACACAAGATGTTATGGATCCAAGAATGCTTTTCAGGGTATTATGAAAGACAATCTGCTAGTGAGTTTCTTGAAGCTGGACCATTTTTCAAGATAATCACTGATTCCAGGTTTCTTCAATAACTAGATGTAATTATAAGATTAGATAGAACAGTTCATCCATTCGAGTTAAAAGAGAAAAATACATTTTTGAAAAGTAAATCTTAAGCCGGGTGTGGTGGCCTTTAGCCCCAGAACTTGGGAGGCAGAGGCAGGCGGATTTCTGTGAGTTCAAGGCTAGCCTCGTCTACATAGTGAGTTTCAGGCCAGCTAGGACTACAGGGAGAACCTGTCTCAAAAAGACCAAAATGAAAAGACATTCTTTAACAACAGCATTTAATAAATAAATAAATAAATAAATAAATAAATAAATAAATAAATAAAATCAATTTTAAAGAAAAGTAAATCTTGAGGTGAAGGCAGTGAGATGGCTCAGCAGATAAAGGTGCTTCCTGCCAGGCCTGACAACCTGTACTCAATCCCTGGGACCCACATGGTGGAAGGAGAGAAAAAATGCGCTCAAACTGTACTCTGACCTCCCAAACATGTCAAGTGCATGGCCACACACAAACACATATACGTACACACACGAAATGTAATTTAAAAAAAAAATTTACAACAAATCTTGATAATCAGAGCACTATGTTATACCATGCATCAAAGCAAATAGCATACATGTCTGCATGCCTACGCTCAAATCAGAGATTAAGTTTCTCATAGATTAAGCACACACAAAAAAAGCAGTGTGCTGAAGAAACTCTTTTCCAATAAAAGATAACGGAGTGAAGATGGAAATTAGTACTGACAGTTCTGCCAGGAGGAGAAGTTGTCACCATTTGATTTAGGGCGCCTTTTGCCAGCTTCAAACCAAGGTCACTTTCTTTGGGGGTAAAATACAACAATGATTAGTCTTTTTCCTTCTTAAGATTTGCTATTCTTTAATAAGGTTCACATTCCTGTCTACTTTGAGAACAAATGTGAATAGTTAGGCCAGATACTTAATTTATGCCAAATTTTCCTTTTGCTATCTTGTCCTAAAAAGTAGTATCTTCGGCCAGGGGTGGTGGCCATGACTTTAATCCCAAAACTCAGGAGGCGAAGGCAGGCAAATCTCTGTGAGTTTGAGGCCAGCCTAGTCTACATAGAGAGTTCCAAGCCATCCAGGGCTACAGGGAGACCCTGACTCAAAATAAAGTTTTTTTAATTAAAAAAAAAAAAAAAAAAGATCTTAGGACAGCAAGATGGCTTAGGAAGCAAAAGCACTTGCCCCACAAGCCGAATGACCTGAATCAGATCCCAAGATCCCATGGTGGAAAGGGATAACTGACTGTTGAAAAGTCCTCTGACCTCCACATGTGTGCCCATGACACATGAATTCCTGCATGCACACATACACACAACAAATAAAATTTTAAAAAATTTAAATGACCTTCACAAGATCATTTTCATAGAGACTAATCTAAAGGAATGGAAGAAAAACTGAGGTCTTCCTAGGACCTTAATCTTGGATTTTTTTTCAAGCAAGAAATCTTGTCTTCTGCTTCAGTAAGAGGGAGAAAGAGAGAAGACAAAGAGACACAATGTGTGACTGCAGTCACTGAAGCACCTTACCTGGAAAGGATAGTGTTTAATAGTCAGGTACTCAGCTAGGATATCCAACATTCTCACCATCTGAGAGAAGATAAGGACTCTGTTCCCCCTTTCTCGGAGTCTCGTCAACAGCTTGTCTAACAGAATCAGCTTCCCACTGCTCCTGATTAGGGACTGAGATTCAGAAAACATCCCAGTCATTATACTCAAACACAATACTACTAAAATGTTCTTTAAAACCTTGTATCCATAATACATATGCTTCCTGGACCTTTCCTAGTTATTTGTGTTTTCTCATCTATTTTTGTTGGTTTGGAGAAAGGTCTCACTATGTGGCCCTGGTGGGCCTTGAACTTGCTATGCAGTCCAAACTGTCTTCAAACTCAAGATCTTCCTACCTCCACCATGCCCTTGCCACATTCAGTCATAACCAGTTGCTCCCTCACCTCCACCCCAGTATTAAGATGCAGTCTTGAAGGCCATGCATGGCTTTTCACATCTTTTTTGACAATTTCTTTTGATGCTTCTTGAAGGGAAATTAAGGGAGGAGGATTTTGATTTAAAAAAAAAAAAAAAAAAAACCTACAGAAACTCAATCACTTTTGAGACAATACTTCTAAGCAAGAGGAGCTACATACCAGAAGAATCTCCTGACCATTTTCCCTTTCATTTTCTTCAGGAGGTTTAATCAGATAGCAGTGGTTACAGCACTTTTTTAGTTCCATCACAATATTAAGGAAGCCAGATGTGCTGCCTCGTGTTCCTTTGGCAAGAGCCTTGTAATTCCTGGTCAGGATCCATCTGGAAATTAAAATCATAATACATCATTAAATTCAAGTAAGCAGAGTTTATGGAACCAGAAGAAAACAATCTTAAAAGAAAAAAAATAAAAGTTAAGAGACAGGATTTTCTATCTCTTATTACCTAACCACAATTCTTCATATCTCCACTGAGAACTGGAAAGTTCATGACTCTACAGGAAATGTTAAGCTCACTGATGACAGAAATACTAAAGAAACTGAGTAAATATACATATACGTGTATATATACAAATCACACACACTTTACTGTGTGCAAATATGGGATTATTGCTGAAGGACACTTTTTTTCTTTTTTTGACAGGTTTTACCTGGCCTAGACCTTGCTATGTAGACCAAGCTAGCCTCCATCTCACAGAGATCCATCTGTCTCTGCATCATGCCCAATTTGAAGAACTCTTATTACAATATAAAACTAGCAATAAATCATTTAACAGCAAGACACTGGTTAACTAAGTTAAGTATACTGTTAAGAGCTGGGCATGTTGGTGTATACGTATAATCCCCGCTGAGAGGCTGAGGCAAGAGGATTGTCAATTCACAGTTAACATGGGCTAAAAGGGGTGAGACCCTGTTTTTAATTTAAAAAAAAAAAGGGCAGATGTGAGTGGCACGCCTTTAATACTAGCACATGGGAGGCAGAGGCAGGTGGATCTCTGTGAGATGGAGGCTAACCTGGTCTACCTAGTGAGTTCCAGGCCAGGTTGGGCTACAGGAAGATCCTGTCTCAAAAAAAAAAAAAAAACAAAAAAGCACAAAGGAAAAGAGAAGGCAGAGCACTGGCCATGGTGGTGCATGCCTTTAATCCCAGCAGCTGAGAGGCAGAGGCAGAGGGATCTCTGTGAGTTTAAGACCAGCCTGGTCTCCATAGTGAGTTCTAGGCCAGCTAAGGCTACAGGGAGACCCTGTCTCAAAAGACCCCTCCCCCAAAAAAGGAAAATAGAAGCTGTGTACCCATTCTAAATGTTAAAAAGGGTATTTTATATCACAAAATGCTAAATAGCATATGATAGAAAAACAGAAGGAAGAGCACTGGGAGAAGAGGAACTGTGGGGATGTCAACCACAATTATGTGGAAAACTGCCCTCAGGATATCTGTTACTTTGCAAATAAATAGATCAAAGCTATGCATCCATTGTAACTTTATAAAAGCATTCTTATATTATAAAATGTTGAGTAACTTAAGCATGATCTTTACAAAAATCTGGAATAAGGAAAGGAGAACTACATACACAGTAGTATATATCCCATATTTAATCCTTAACCATAGAGCAGAGTACAGTATTGTAGAGTATTAAGAGCCTCTGCCTTAAATGATATGTGCTGTAATTATTTCTCTCTAGCCACAAGGCTTCTGGTAGGAACATGTTCTGTTCATCTTCATATTCCCAGTATCTAGAATGCCTAACATTAAAAAAAACTTGAAAAAAAGAGTCAATGAATGGAAAACAATAATGGTTTAGAATAATCAACATCTGCTTGTTAGGTGGTAGGAGTATTAGCACTAAAATTAACACCTACTTCAGACCATTGACATAATGAAAAGCATTATATAAATTCTTACTTGCCAGGTGTGGTGGCACATGCCTTTAATCCCAGCACTCAGCAGAGGCCCATGGATCACTATGAGATTGAGGCCAGCCTAGGATGGTCTACAGAAAGAGTTCCAGGACAGCTAGGGGCTACATAGTAAGACCCTGATTCACAAAACAAAACAAAACAAAACAAATTCTCACTCAAGAAAATAAACAAAATTCCTTTTGCCCAACCATATCCGTGTTGAGGCTAGAGACAAAGCTCAGGCTTTTGGCTTTAGCAAGCCAAAGACCAGGGTCCAACCCCTACTGTTGTAAGGAAACAAAGCTTATAGATAGCCTGGTAACATAGGCCTACAATCTCAGCTACTTTACTTGGAAGGGCTGAGGCAGAAGACCTCTAATAGGTAAAAAGCTGGCGGAGAACCAGTGAACGGAGGAGGAGGCACCAGGACACAGATAAAACTCCATCAAAATAGGGTTTATTAACAAAGGAACACATGGGACAGATTCCTTTCCGGGAAGGGAAAATGTCTGCCCAGGTATTGAGCTGGGGTCTTTTAAAAAGGGAGGCTTCTGCCTCCTGCAGAAGGTGGGAAGATGTATTTTTTTAAAGTTGAGTGGGGAGGAAGTGGGAGAGCTGGACTGTTAAAATCTGTCCTCTTTAGAGATCAAAGGGGAAGCCTGCTGTGTTGGCCAAACAGTGGAGAAAAAGTCTGCTTCTCTTGACTTCAAAGACCAAGGTGCTTATCAGCTAGGTTCTCTTTTCTCAGGAGCAAGAGAAGTCCTTGGGATCCTGTTGGTGAGGGGGCAAGGCTATCTGAACCTTAACAACCTCCATGTGAGACCCTGTCTCAAAGTAAAAAGCAGGAAAAGAGCTGGAAGCATAGTTCAGTGGTAAAATACTTACCTAGATTTATAAGGCCCTTAGTAAGAAAAAATTATGTTCAGAAGTCACTTTGAAGGAAAAAAAAAAAAAAAACCAAACACTATTCCTTGCTAATTATTAACCTCCGGGTCGGAACTTACTTATAATACTGTTTCTGAAGAGCAGACATCTCCACCCTGAGAATTTGCTCCACTTTGGCAGGAAGGGACTTCTCCACATCTTTTTTGACTCTCCGAAGAAGGAAAGGCTCTAGCACCTTATGAAGACTCTGATAGCCATTCTCCCTCCCTTTTCCATGGTCTTCTTCAAAATCTTCCCAGAACTCAAACCTAGGGATGAAGTCACCACCATGTTAAGTTACCCAGAGGAATACAGCCTTTTTACAACAAAAACTTTTTAAGACAACTAAACTGGGGGCAGGAGGGATGACATAGGGACTATAAAAAATTTAATTTAGTAACCGACTGTGACTAGTAATAATCAGATATACAGAGATTAGAAACGCATGTGCAAACATCTTAATGTCAATTGCATTAAAAAGGAATTTTTCTGTATGAAACTGTATTTTAATAATGAAATGGAGATCTTTTTTAAAGGTTAAAACCTCATTTAATTTTATGTCTTCTAGGGTTTATACTGAGTACAATATTGTATAACTGTAATAATTCAACTGCAAACCTAAAAATTTACAGCCAATTTTGAAAAAGATGCATCTTAACTCAGAAAATTGTTATTGAATGTCAATGCTGTTGTAATGAAATGCTTCTTCGAAGTATGTGGTTATTAAATAAATAATTAACTGGAAAAAAAATTAATCTATCCCACAAGGTAAGGCAAGCTTTACCCATCACTGACTCAGTAAAAGAGAAGAGAATAAATAAAACATACTTCTAAGAAAAATTTTTACAAAGGGATAGCAAGATGCCTCAGCAGGTAAAGGCACTGCCACCAAGCTCAACAGGAAAGAGCTCGGCCATAGGAATTCATCACTGTGTATCCTAACTGTTGACACACTGTGACCCGCTACTTTACCATGCCCTCCCTGCCATGATGGACTGCACATTCCAACCATAAATCCAAAATAAAGCTCACTGCCTGAGGTAATGAGGAAAGTAATACAAGCACTATTAACAACAATCTGGGGAAAAGGAAAGAAAGATGGAGGCAGTAACACACATGGTAAAGTAAGACAGGAGAGACTAAGAGAGAGACAGCATTTGGAACACCAAATCATAGTGCTGCTCAGAGGTCTTAACTCCCTCCATACCCAAGGTTAGTAATGTCTGAAGACTTAAGTTTTTTTTTTATTTTTATGTGTATGGGTGTTTTGCTTGCACGTATACGAGTCCAACTGTACATTGGACTCCAATTGTACATTGGAGTCGTGCATTGTACACGAGTCCAATGCTTACAGAGGACAGAAGAGGGTGTGAGATTCCCTGAAACCGGAGGTACAGGAGTTTTGTTAACTGCCATGAGTGCTGGTATCCGAACATGGGTCTTCTGCAAGAGCGGCCAGTGCTCTGAACTGCTGAGCTGTCTCTAGCCCCATCTAGAAACATTTTTAGTTTTGACAACTGGCATGTAGTGGGTAGAAGCCAAGAATGCTAACAGACATCCTATAAGGAAAATGACATAAGGGGGTGGTAGAGTCCCAAATATCAACAGTGAGATCTAAGAAGCCCTACACTAAGAGACAGTGCTGAAAGGAAGGGTGCAGAAGGGCTCCTCTTCCACAAATATACTGCAGTAAGGAAAGGGAAGGGGAGGAGGGGAAGGAAGGGGAGGAAAACAGGGATGAACGAAGAGAGAGAGATGAAGGGAAGGGAGGGGAGGGAAGAGGAATAGAGGAGGGTCCCATTTAAACCTCTTCTGGTAACCCCAGCAGTGATGGTAGCACAGCCACAACTGCCAAGGTTCTATTCATCATCCAAAGAGTATTAAACATGCCTTCACAAATAATACTTTCTTTTTTTTTTTTTGGTCTTTTTGAGACAGGGTCTCCCTTATAGCCCCAGCTGGCCTGGAACTCACTATGTAGACCAGGCTGGCCTTGAACTCACAGAGATCTGCCTGCCTCTGCATCCCAAGTCCTGGGGCTTAAAGGTGTGTGCCACCACTCCCGGCTATAATACTTTTTTAAAAAAGCCAGAGGCAAATAAAGACAATAAATTTGCTGCTTGCCTTACAGGAAATGCTTAAATGAGCCCTTTGAGCTAAAAGTAAATCACAACAGCAACCTAAATCTACAGGAAGTAATGAAGATCACCTAGAAATAAATATATATATATATGTATTTCTTTGTATACAAGATTTCCTTAAAAGACAAACCTGTGTAAACCAATAACTCTACCACTGTATTCTTGAGTTTACAACATAAGGAGAAAGGTGAAAAATGTCATCATTGTAGAAAAGTAAGATACATGATTCCTAGAGAAATCAAGAAGTAATTTTAAAATAGTAACAATATTTGGGGCACTAAAAAGTATTTGTTCAAACATGGGGCTGGAGAGATGGCTCAGCAGTTACAAGCACTGACTGCTTTCGCAGAGGACCTGGGTTTGATTCCCAGCACCCACATGGTAGCTAACAAGTGTCCTAACTCTAATTCCAGGGGATTCGATACCCTCTTCTGACCATCAAGGGCATAGCATGACACAGGTGCCCTTACATATATATGCAGGCAATACACTCATACACATAAAATAAATAAAATTTTAATAAAAAGTATTTGTTCAAACTAAAGAAAGCAGTAAAGGAGAAACAAGGACAAAAGCAAACATGGAAAACAAGTCGCAAGATGAGATGAATGGATTCAACCATATCATTAACTCTATTACATGTAGAGAATTAATTATTCCAAGAAAACTGACTCAATCTAATGAATTATCTATCTGTATCTAACATTCTGCATCTGCCAATTCTATCCAACATGCAGGTTCTAGATGCTTCAATAAATCAAGAAGATCTAAAAAAAATTCCCTTAGCGGGACGTGGTGGTGCATGCCTTTAATCCTAGCACTCAGGAGGCAGAAGCAGGTGAATCTCTGTGAGTTCAAGGTGCACATAATGAGTTCTAAGCCAACTAGGGATACAGGGAGACCCTGTCTCAAAAAGCCCAAAAACTAACTAACTAACTAAATAAATAAATAAATAAATAAATAAATAAACAAACAAACAAACAAACATTCCTTAAGAAAGACATTAAGAGCCTATGGCTGCAGAAAATATGAACCCCTAAGTCAAGATACAAAGAAAAATAATAAAAGTAATAGAAATAGAAAGTCAAGGCCGGGTGTGGTGGGCCTTTAGTTCCAGCACTCAGGAGGTAAAGGCAGGTGGATCTCTGTGAGTTCAAGGTCATCCTGGTCTACACAGTGAGTTCCAGGTCAGCTGAAGCTACTGGGAGAACCTGTCTTAAAAATAAAAAAAGTTAATGAATACAACATCATTACATAAAACTTAACTATAGTTCTATACTCTAGTACAATATGAAAATTAGATAAAACAATGTTATAAATCTCAAAGTCCAATAAAAAAACAAAAAATTTAAGTAAATAAAAGTGAAGCTGAAATTCAGAGAAACAAAAAACAAAAAACATTATGACTTTATCTCCATGAATCCAAGTCCAGCATGCCCTACATAGTAAGTTCTAGGCCAATCAGTGCTATATAGAGACCATGTCTCAAGAAAAAGAAAGAAAGAAAGAAAGAAAGAAAGAAAGAAAGAAAGAAAGAAATAAAGAAAGAAAGAAGAAAGAAAGAGGAAGGAAGGAAGGAAGGAAGGAAGGAAGGAAGGAAGGAAGGAAGGAAGGAAGGAAGGAAGGAAGGAAGGAAGGAAGGAAGGAAGGAAGGAAGGAAGGAAGGAAGGAAGGAAGGAAGGAAGGAAGGAAGGAAGGAAGGAAGGAAGGAAGGAAGGAAGGAAGGAAGGAAGGTAGGTAGGCAAAGGAGCAAGAGATGTAGCTACAGCTCTGCAGGTGAGCACCTAACAAGATGAGTCCCTGGGTTTGATTCTCAGTTCCATACTCCACCTGCCCCCGCCAAAAAAACCTTCCTGGGGCTGGTAAGATGGCTCCATGGTTAAGAACACTGATTGTTCTTGCAGAAGACCAGGGTTCAAATCCCAGCACCCACATGGCAGCTAACAACTATCCATAACTCGAGTTCCAAGGGATCCGACAGTCTCTTCTGTCCTCCTCAGGTACTGCATGACACAGGTGCACTTACCTACATGCAGGCGATACACACATACACATAAAAAACAAAAAAACAAAAAACAAACAAAAAAAAAAAACCTTCCTAAAATGTAATCAGAATGAAAACAGTGGCAGTAAATTTTTTTAAAAAAGCAGTAAAAGACTTGTACAATGAAAGCTACTATAAACACTACAGAGAAAAATTATAGAAGGCTAAACTTTAATTAAGTCAACAATTCTTTAATATGTAAAATCTGACAAAATCCCTACCAAAGTTCCAGCAAGTAATTCCCCCCAGGAATTAACAAGTTGATCCTGAAACATAAACATACAGAGAACTACAAAGCCTGCAAGAGTGGCTGAAACATGCCAGACATGATGGTGCATGCCTTTAATCCCAGCACATGGGAGGCAGAGGCAAGTGTATCTGAAACATTTAAGAATGAAACTGAAGCTGGGTTTCTCCATTTTTAAAGGTAGTATAAAGCAAAACAATCAGGACAGTGCTATAGTGAAGTGGGGACAACATTAATGGAACAGGACTGACAGACCAGAAATAGACCTTACATTTATGACCTCAATTAAGATTATTAAGGCAATTCTGGAGAAGAGATGCTCTATTCAAGAAATGATGGCCCTTGCACTTCACACTCTAATTGACTAAAATAGAATTCCAGGCTGACAAGAATGTCCTTGTGGCCTGTTCGGTCAATCTGTTTTAGCTATGTCATCCAAAACATAATAAACAAAAAGAACTTAATAAACTACAGAGTTAAACTTTTGGTCTTCAAATGACTTCATGAAAATGAAAAAAGCCAATCACACGCTGATAAAGCAATTAATATGGGATTGTTTAAAGAAATAAAACTGTTCAGAGCTGGAGAGATAGCTTAGTGGTTTGGAGTACTGGCTGCTCTTCCAGAGGACCTGGGTTCAATTCCTAGCACCTACATGGCGGCCATCAACTGTCTAAAACTCCAGTTCCAGAGGATTAGATGCCCTCTGATGACTCCCACAGGCAGTGTATGGCATGGGTGCATTTGCATACCTGCAGGCAAGACACTCATACGCATAAAATAAAAATAATTAAAAAAACTGTTCAACTCACAAATAAAAAAAGGCAACTTTCTTTTTATTATATGTGTTTGAGTGTTTGGCCTACATATATTTAAGTGTACCCATGGAATATAAGGCCCAAGGAAGCCAGAAGAGGGCATCAGATCCCCAGGTGGAGTTATAGATGATTGTTAGCTGCCATGTGGGTGCTGGGAATTGAACCCAGACCCTCTGCAAGAACAGCTAATGTTTTTAACCACTGAGCCATCTCTCCAGCCTGAGGCCAATTTTCTTTTTTTTAATATTTTATTTATTATTTTTATGTGAATGTGTGTATTGCCTACATGTAGGTAAGTGCACCTATGTCGTCAATGCCTGCAGAGGACCAAAGAGGCTGTCAGAACCCCTGGAACTGGAGTTACGGACAGTTGTTAGCAGCCATGTGGGTGCTGGGATTCGAACCTAGTCTTCTGCAAGAACATTCAGTGTTCTAACCGCTGAGCCATCTCTCCAGCCCCAAGGCCAATTTTCTTAATGGCAAAGGATTTGAATGGATATTTCACTATAAAAGTCCAAATAGCCAATGAGCAAACGAAAAGATGCTCAATAGCATTAGTCATTATAGAGAAAAAATTATGAAACATTCACTTGTCATTTATACAATTATTAATTAAATTGCTTACCGCAACATCAGTTGCTATTCCAGGTAATATGAACCAATAATGAATAAAGAAAACAAGATCTCTAGTATTTTCACTAATTTAGTGACATGAGACAAAGAGGCGGTGCACAGGAAATCAAACAGGGAAGGAGAAGCAAGCATGTCTCACAGGCTGCTTTGACTTAGGCAGACAAGATCTCTGAAAGGCAGTGGGATCATATGAGCTATAGGGTGGCTGCCAGGAGAAAGAGCATTCCAAGTAAGAGTACTAAGGATATGCATGTGGAAGGGACAGAAAAATGGCCAAGCTAGCCAAAACATAATAGTAACGGAATAAGTGGTATGACTCGGTGTATACAGGAGCCAAGCTGAGGACAGACTTCCAGATTAGAGTAATTAATTTAGACTTTATTCTAAGTTATCACTAAATACTACTGGGTAATTTTAAACTTATGAAAAGTACATATTGTCTATCCTATTTAAATCTATCTAATGGAGATATGTCAAAGTTCTTTAAGAAGTCAGTTGATTTGAGTAAGAACTAAAACTGATGCTTCAGTTACCAAAGATTTGTATTTGAGGTATGTTAGCCTATGTATACTGTATCTATGTATACTATATAATTCATCAAGTATTTTTGGCTTTTTGTGGGGGTTTTTTGTTTTGTTTTGGTCTTTTTGAGATAGAGTCTTCCTGTAGCCACAGCTGGCCTTGAGCTCACAAAGATCCGTCCACCTCTGCCTCCCAAGTGTGGGGATTAAAGGAATACACCACAATGCCTGGTTGTTTTATGCTTTTTGAGACAGGGACGTCGGGGAGAGTGTCATGTAGCTAAAGCTGGCCTCAAACTCACTATGCAGCTGGACTTGAACTCCTAATCCTCCTGCCTCCACCTTCCAAGTGCTATTGATTACAAGCATGTACCACTCCATTTGGCTCAAATTTCTAACAATTACTTCCCAAATGCTTTAATTAACTCAAACTTTTGATAGACATACATGTTCTTTCTTAACAGGCTAGTTTCTGTGCCTTCAATTTATTAGGCAAGATTTTAATGCCGTTGCCTCTTCCCCTGCTGATGCTTTGCTTTCCCCAAACCATGCCATCAGTTCTTGCTAAGGTCTGTTAAGCACTGAAAACATCAGCACAGTAGATAGACATTCTGGTATCTTTTGAACACACAGGAAGGAGCTTACTTCTCTGGCATGATAAAGTGCAGCAAGGACCAGAGTTCCTTGAGGGAATTCTGAAGAGGAGTGCCAGTGATCAGGAGCCTATGGTTGGACTTGAAATCGATCAGAGTTTTATACAGTAAAGAGTCATCATTCTTCAAGCGATGCGCTTCATCCACTCCCAGAAAGGCCCAGTTAATACTGCCCAGCACAGTCTAAAGTGAAAAACAAAAAAGAATAATCCACCAGGTCAGAAGGGACCACAAGCATGCTTACACGTCTTACTTATCTCTGTACAAATATCATCACGGAGGGACATGTGTAGCCACATTTATTTGTCACTGACAACATAAACCAGTAAGCTTCTGTTTGTTCTACCAGCTGCCAAACTCAAAAGAGCACATCATCATCTAAAGGTAGAGGTGAGTCTCTTACACAAACTGTTACGCCAAGTCCAAAGCAGGACAAAAATTGGTATGCGAAACAAAAACAGAAACAAACCTGTGGTTTGGGTTCTCCTTTTAAGATTCTTTTCTTGCCTATCTACCACCCAAACCTTTAAGCATAGTAAATACCAAGAGCCATTAAACAGAACATACATACCTCTATCATTACAACATATACTTTCGTTAACTCTAGAAAGAAGTTATTTAAAGAGCTTAATTTTTCTCAGAGACCATTCATATCAGAGAAATGTGTCAACAGTAACTTGCTGAGAAATGCCCAGAAGGCATGGAGCCCAGGCCCCAGTAACTACACTGTACTTCAATGCAGTCTCCTTACCATTTCCTCCTGGATAACTCAACTGAACTACACAACCTGACTGAGTGCACACTCACCTGAAAGCTAAAAGGTCTGGTTTTCTACTTACAAGCTTAGTACTTGATGACCTTCCCTAATTTTCTTTATTTGCTTAGTTTTTTTAAACAAAGCAAAATAAAATGACAAGTGGAGGCACAGGTCCCACTATTTGAACAAGACACACCAGACAAAAGATTTAACCTTTTTGTCACTGAGTCACACCTTATCTTTTAGAAGGATTTCGTATGTTGTTATAAGTGCATTGAACTTCAGCCTTTTGGTTTGAGAATGAATCCATTCATATTCCCTTATCTGTAAGAAAAAAGACACATTTCTACTTCCATTTTTTTATAACAAACAAGTCTTCTAAGAGACGGCAATAGAAACATGAGAAATAAACATTTTTAATTTGATAAATACAAATTTTAAAAATAACCTATGCACTCTGAAGTGACTTAAGTCACCCAAGTACAGAGCAGTAAGAGAATTAAATACAGATCACTAAGCAGCAAAAACTTTATTGTTGCAGTTCAAATAAACTGACCCTGAGAAAGATGTGAACAGGCACTCACTCATCAAGCAGTGAAACTTTGGGGACTTCAACTAAATAAAATAGGGCTTCCTCAGATCTTTGGAACGTTCTTAAGGAAATGTAATTTCCATTATTGTTTGCATAGGGCAATACATTTATTAAGTAAAAAAAAAACAAAACAAAACAAAAACCTATGGCTTGGTCAGAAATTTTTTTGTTTTGTTTTTTTGAGACAGGGTCTCCCTGTAGCCACAGCTAACCTGGAACCATATAGACCAGGCTGGACTTGAACTCACAGAGATCCACCTGCCTCTGCCTCCTGAATGCCAGGACTGAAGGCATGTGCCACCATGCCTGGTATGGTCAGAAATTTCTTAACCAGAGTAGATAAGTGTCTCAAAAGAAAAAGAGAAGCTTATAGGATAAAAATAACAATATAAATAGAAAATACTGTGAATGTAAAGAAATAGAAAAATTAATGAATCCATACTGAAACTTAATCAGATACTCAGCAAACACAATGGCTAATAACAAAGCTCTTATACTTTGTCAAGTTAGAAACCAGAAATCAGGGCAGTAGGTACTTAGAGGGAATTACTACCAGAGAAAAGAAAGGGAGAACTGGATGTCACAGAGAAAACCTCCTTATTTACTTAACAATTTTTCAGTTTACTTGCTTTTACCTTTGGAAATTCTACTTAGAGCTACTTTGAATAATCTACTAAGTGCTTTGTTACATTCTCTCTTGGTTTTGTTCTTGTTTT